CAAGTAACTGTGGATTGAAACCCCTAAAATCATGAGCTCAAACCGACCTGTCTGTAAGGTCTGCTCCTGGATAGTGAGCAGACTCCACTCTCCACGTAGCAAAGTTCCCCCTCAGTACCTGCATTACCTAGGCAACTGGCACACCTGGAAGAGGTCACATCTCCATCTGCTGAGGTCACATCTGGATTCGATGTCACACCTTTCCCTGCCCCTAACCTAGATAAGGCCGAGCCCAGGGCCAGATGCCCCTCTTTCCCAGACGCTTGGAGTGCCAACACGGCCTGGTGACAGCCAGAATGATGAATAAACCCACCCCTTACCTGAATACCACGTGCATGGTGTTGTTCTTACTTGGCTTCTTCTTTAAAAACCTAACACTGTCCTTGTAAGTTGGCTTATCACAAGTATTTGCTACAGTGAAAGAAAGCTGACTAACATTATTCTTAAAGAATACAAAGCAAAATGTAATCATGTCCTTTCTAAAATAATGAAATCAAACCAATTGTATTGATAGATGACTTATCTCTTTCTAACCTTAGTAACATTATTTTAAGCAAGCCTATAATGTTCAGTGTATACACATGAAAATAGAACTAGGAACATTAAAGAAATGGGTGGGGTTTGGAGAGATGGGGGAGAACAATGGAAGCAGTGACATCAATGAAGATGCATCCTGTTCACAAACTTACACGTTAAAAACCACTTGGTGCAATTACTTAAAAGATTGTTTCTTAAACAAGGAATCACAGCTTCCTCTCTTTGAGAAATTAAAAGGAAAATGCTAGATTTGCCAGTAGGTTTTATGCATCATTGTTTAGCTATTTACAATTAACCTCTGTCAAAGCGGTAGAGAGAGAAAAAGCTAATTTCTAAACAGCTGCATCACTTTCAGCAATCTTGTAAGTTAGGATGTATGAGTTACGAGCTTAATTTCCCATTAATAGACTCCCAAACAATGGCCTTTCATACCAGAAAGTACTAGAGTTCAAAGAAGAGAATGACATACATCCCTCAGGTTCATTTGGGAATGACAAACCAGGAAGAGAGAAATATGGTGAAAATGGTTGCAATTGTCAAACCTCTTTTTATATTTTCCAGAATCTCATGCAGTCAGTGGCCTTTTAATAAAGACTCCAGATTCGATCTTGCAAGATGTGGCTTCTCTGTTTTCTCGCCGTAGAAAACGATATCCTCTATTCATTCCTCTGCTTTAATTATGAGTGGCATATTGGTTATCAGTGAAAGAAGGTGCTTAGAGAAAGTCTTGATTCAACAAAAGAACTTTGAGACATTATCATGTTAATGCACATGTCCAGGAACATGGCAGCAGAAAACGTATGACAGAGATCAGTAAGTATGCTTCCATTGTAACTCAATCGCACCTTTCTAATTATTCATTCATATCAGAGCATTTCAGTCCATTTCTATCTCTGGGGAGTGTGCTTTCTTACCAATTAAACAATAAACAGTAAGCCTGTTTGTATACTTTGGTTACCCTGGAGAGTGAGATAACTCATGTGTGCAAAATGCACTGCTATTAATCTGAGCCAAAACACTGAGATGAATAAACCCCTCCATTCCGGAATCTAGTTTTATATTTCCAATGCTCAGTCTGGCTCTGGCTTTAGTAATCTAGTCAGGCTTCATAGGGATCATAAATGGTAAGGGTATATCATAAACATTTTTCAAAGAATGTGATTAATTTCAAAACTTGTGCATTTATTTTTGCCAGCAAATTTCTTTTGACTCATCTAGTTCTTGGCAAAAATCATTTTCAAGATTTTGGCAGGTACTATCATTTCTTTTCCATATGACAGAGAGCTCCCTTTTTTCTGGCCATGTATATTTTGAAAACCAAAGCCTTATTATTTACAGTCCAATTTAAAGGATCCTTCCCTCTCTTATAATTTTAATCAAATGGTAACAATAGCAGTAAATATTGATTACAGTTTGGCTTTATGTAATCTCATCTTTTTAATAAAGCTACACAAAATCTGTTTCTTATGTATTTTCATTTTTATAAATTAAGATTCTTTTGTATGCCTTCTTTCAAAATTGTCACATTACACACATTGGTGTTATAAAATCACTTTATAATTTTTACAATGCAAAGGCTTTAAAATCATACTTGTGATTTTTGTTGTTGTTGTTGGTCATGGGCCTTAAAGTCTGGGTTTGGGTGCTATCCTGAGCTCTTCAGCTTAAGACAACTACTGTACCACTTCAGCCACAGAGCCACTTCTGGTTTTCTGGTAGTTAATTGGAGATAAGAGTCTCACAGATTTTCCTGCCAGGGCTGGCTTTGAACCTCAATCCTCAGATCTCAGCCTCCTGAGTAGGTAGGATTACAGGGGTGAACCGCCAGTGCCCACTAATACTTGTGATTTTTAGTCTTCCTATTTAAGTTGATTGATACAGCAATGAGCCCAGTGCAGATGTTCAGAATGGAGTTTGGCTTAATGGAAGAAAAAGGTTAGTGTTCTCTCACCATGTGACAGTCTCCTGCGAGGTGGCCTAAGATCTGTGTAGTGACTCTGTGGTGTCATTGAATCCCCCCAAACCTGTCTTCGGGTCTTGGTTCTACCACATTAGGATGAACAGCCTATTTTTTCTGAGGAAAAGATGAGGACACCCCATCATCATAACCAAGTAAAGAAGAAGGGAAAGAGAAAATGGTGTAATGGAGGTTAGCTATTCTCTACTATCGAGTAGCAACACTCCAGTAGCTTGTGATCATATCATTAGCTGGGATTCTATCCTGTGCCAGGGAAATTTTATTTGGTCATATTGCCACCCTAAGCAAAATCAGGAAACACCACAAGGAAAATTGGTAGATGGGCAGCTAGTTGTCTTTCAGACATCTGGAAACATGAAATAAATATGGACAGTCAACAGGGCATTGGGTACATTTTCAGGCATCTTTTATCTCTTAGAATAAAGAGGAGCTAAGCAAATAGAGAGTCATAAATATAGTACAGCTATATAATTCTTTCTTGTTGATAGGAAGTCAAGTGTCAAATGGGAAAATAATTCAACTCTCTAATTGTATGTCTTAGGCTGGACCTTCAGTACCTTCCTATGAGTAGAATGAGGTACACACCTTTGGGATATGCATGGGATGTCAAAGCAGCCTGTTAAAACATGTGACACTGCATACCACAGGTTACTTACACTGAAATTACTGAGGATTTCATCAAATTAAGCTGCCAGGGTTTCTTTCAGAGTTTATATTTCATTTGATTTGATCCCCTTTATAACTTATTTGACATGTTCATTCCATTACAATGGTAAAGGTGTAATTTTGGGGAAAGTGTTTTAATGTTTCAGTAAGTAAACATGTCCTTTTTGAAATTTATTATACCTAGATGACTGGTTCCTGGTGTGAATGTTATAGGGGAAGAGGAAATGTCTGTCTTCTCTTACTGAGAATATCTTCAGTTTTACTGTTTGGATTGCAGTATTTCATTAATGCAGCTAGGAATAAAGGTGATAGTTTCTCCTACAAAAGCTGATATCCAGCAATAATTTGAATTTACTTAATTGTCCAGGACTATCAAAGTTTTCAAGATTCATTAACCAATAAATAATTTTTTGCATAATTCTTTTTTCCCATCAGCCTGCCTTTATTCACATTTCTATCCTGACAGACACATTTTCAGTATATAAACTTCACGTTTTATAATATTGGTTTTCTACCTCCTAAGGGACATAAACTTATTTATAACCAAAGTGAAAACAATGGTTTTACATTGAGTTAAAAGTGTGTGAAATAAGTTGATTGTGGTATCTCATTGGTAGAACAGTTGCCTAGTATGAGCAAAGCCTTGGGTTTGATGCCTATCCCCACAAAACAAATAGACAAAGGAAACCAAAACAAACACATAGCACTTTTTCAGAACTGTTTTAGGGCAAATGGAGAATTTGAACTGACATGGAAGATGTCAAGCAAGCTTCTTACTCTCCACCTCTGTTTTCCTAACTCTCAGGCTTTTCTCATAATGTGGGATTAGGCTTTTCCTAAGTGTGTTTGTTGGCTGCAGGCCTTTGAAACAATTGGCTGCCTGCAGACAGATTGCACTCTAATAAAGCCTCCAAGATTTGATCTTTCAAAATGTGGCTTTTCGCAGCACCACTTCCGGTTTTCTAGTGGTTTATTGGAAATAAGAGTCTCACGGACATTCCTGCTAGAGCTGGCTTTGAACCGCAATCCTAAGATCTCAGCCTCCTGAGTAGTTAGGATTACAGGCGTGAGGCACTGGTGCCGGGCTGAATGGCCTCTCTTACCTCTAGGCTTTTTCAGCACTGGATGGAGAACTCGCTCTACCCAGCAAGAGGCACCAGGATGGCTGTGAGAAATTACTTAGACTCAGCCTCCTTTCTTCAATGCTAATGCTACTTCCCATTTCTTTGATGTCTAGCCTCCTGGGTTTTCCAGAATACAATCATCTCTCAAAATACCTGCAAACTCCATTCCTTACAAAAGTTTCTCCCCATGGCCTCTTGTATTTCTCCATTTCTTTCTTTCTTTCTTTCTTTCTTTCTTTCTTTCTTTCTTTCTTTCTTTCTTTCTTTCCTTTTTTCTCTTTCTTTCTTTCTCTTTTTTTCTTTCTTCTTTCTTTCTTTCTTTCCTTCTCTCTCTCTCTCTCCTTCCTTCCTTTCTTTCCTTCTTTCTCTTTCTTTCTTTCTCTTTCTTTCTTTCTTTCTCTTTCTTTCTTTCCTTCTCTCTCTCTCTCCTTCCTTCCTTCCTTCCTTTCTTTCTTTCTTTCTTTCTTTCTTCCTTTCTTTCTGCCACGAGGTGTATTTTCATTCATCATGCAAGTAATTTTCTGTAACATCCCAGGGCAAACTGAGAATTTGGCAGTCCAATGAAGGGGAATGGTGTCCCCTCAGAGACTCACAGGACGATGGCATTGGCACGGAGCACCCAGAGTTCACAGTGCAGGCTGGTGGCTTGTGTCCATTTTTCAGGTGGCTCTTTCTTCACATCAAGAGGTGGGGGTGGTGGTGAGGGGAAAGGGGTGGCAGACCCTATAGGTTCTTAGGAAATTTCATTCTGCTTTTCTTGTTCAATGGTCTCTTTGGTCAGCAAGGTGTTCTTCTCCTGCATCTCGGTTTTCTTCAGCTTGGCCTTATTGAAGCTGGTGATTTCCCCCATGTCAGGCTTGTCTGCCATTTTCTTAGAACAGTTCTCAGCGACACTCCGAGCACGAGGTCTGGTGCTCCCACTGGCATTGCAGCTGGAAGAGACCTCCACTTCCTCCTTTCTTGAACTCCGCAAATACAACGTCTTTACTATACATTTGGATTTTCAATGCTTGTTATAAGTTATAATTGTAAAGTCTGCCCCGAGCTATGCAGGCCCTGTGCAATTTCTTGGCTAAGTTTCCACCCAGCATCTGTGTTACTTAGGTAACTGGCACACCTGGAAGCAGTCACCGCCCCTTCCTGTGAGGTCACATCCTGAGCCACCTCTGGTCACGTGCCTCCCATCTGACCATAGGAGGGTCCCAGGCCCTGAGGTCACATCTGGATCCAGTGTGGCCACACCTTTCCCCCACCTGGCCACACCTAGCCTTGGGACAGTGCCTCTCCACCGTGCACGGCAGAGGTAACAGTTCGGTAAATAAACTTCTTTTCCTGCCTGAATAGCACGTGGTGTTCTCTTCATTGAAACCTACCTATTTAATATACGTTACAATAATGTGCTGTGTACCCAGCGGCTAAATGATGCAATACAATGGGAAAAAGTAGAAATCTCTTTTCATACAAGGAAATTGCTCTGTATTGCCTATAATAAATGGCATTTGCCATGTTCATGGTTATTTCAAATTCAAGAATTCAGCAGGTCTCCTCTGTGATAAATGAAGGGAAGAAGGGCCAAGTGACAGCTACATTCTCTATGCCAATCAAGGGTCACCATGGCCACAAGACTATGTTAGAATGTGAGGCACAAGAAGATAAAGACTTGAAAAATGACTTACATTTGATAGTGAAGTAAGGAAATCAGGTCTGGCCCGCACCATGTTGGCCCCATGGTAGATGGTACAGTCTGGCATCTTGTCTTCATGCTGGAGGAAGGAAACACCCCCACCCATCAACTGCCTCCCAAGTGATGGGCTTGCGGGGAACCCTGGAGGCAGGGGCCGGCACTTGGCTGTTAGGATCTGTCAGTCCAGTACCTGGGACTAGGAATTTCCTGTGGACACCCGCCCCCTCCCCCCCACCCCCTGGCTGAGACTCTATTTAGGCCCAGCCCAGCCCAACCCAGCCATCTTATGCAATGCTACCCGTGACTCTGTGATCATGTCCTGTCTTCTATCTCCTGGTTCATCTATGGTCATCATGGCGTCCCAATTCTGCACTCCATGCAAGCTGAATTTCTCTGTAAGTATTGTTTTTGCTCTTTCTTTGCCTCTAGCCTGTTTCCTAGCCATGTTAAGTGTATTTGGGGACTGCAGGCCTTTGTAACAACTGGTTGCCTGCAGACTGCAGACTCCTTTATTCTATCTTCCAAAATATGGTTTCTGGAATAATTGCACCTTACAACAATAGGTTTATCGTGTGTGTGTGTGTGTGTGTGTGTGTGTGTGTGTGTGTGTGTGAGGTGCCCATGGGTCTTGAGCTCAGGGCCTAGGAGCTATCCCTGAGCTTTTGTTTCCTCAAGACTAGTGCCCTACCACTTGGGCCATAGCTCCACTTCTAGTTTTTTGGTAGTTAATTGGAGATAAGCATTTCATGGACTTTCCTGCTGTGGTTGTGTTCCTCAAATCTCAGCTTCTTGAGTAGCAAGGATTACATGCTTGAACCACCAGTGCCAAGCTGGAAGTTTATGCTTAAAATTATTAATTTAAATCATGAATTATTTAGGGAATTTGAAAGAGCTTACAGAAAGAGAACAAAAAAGTGTGGTGTGAGATGTTTCTACAAGGTTGTCATTTGCCATAACCCACACAGATGAAAAGCAATATCATTGAAAGATATGGAAGGAAATCTGTGGTCAGGAAAGTTTGGAATTACTTCTCAGACATTTGAGTTTATAGAAAACCAGAATTGTCTAAGCAAAGATATTTTGCAACTTGCTGCCAAATTCCAAATGCCAGAGAATATTGGCAGACTCCTCGATAATTCTGTCTAGCTTCTGGAAGTCATGTTCCAGAGCCCGAGCTTTGTGATGCTACATGCAAGAATGTTGAAAGGAAGCAAAACTGCTCAGATACCATCCTTCCTTAGAAACATGGCAAAAAAAACCCCACTCTTTGGATTTTACTATAGGAAGATTCTTCTGCATAAGGCCTTTCATTTTTAACCTTGCTGTAGACTTGCAGGTTGAGAGGATATGTTGCTAAACTCTAAAATCTAAAATCTCTTTTTCTGTCATCTAGCCTAAATAGAGTTAATTACTAGAGAGGAATTAAGTTATCCAAGATATTATTCATTGGGACAGATGAATATATCTAGCATATTATTAACAGATCAAAAGCCCTTGAGGACTATTACACATCCCACTTTTTCCGATATTTTTATTGACAATTGAATGAAAGTCCTTTTCCCAATGTAATAAAGATTTTCATGTAATTGAAACATGCTTTCATTGGTTAGGGGTTAAAATTATAAGCAATGCAGGAAATTATAATTTTATTATGAAAGTAAATCAGTTAATTAGCTGCTTAATGTAAGATAACAAAATCCTTCAAAATGATCCCGTAATGTTCAAGTTAATTTGGAAATGTCATGTGCACTATGAAAAAGCAGCAGCAACAACAAACCACTTTTTTCTCTGGCCATTTCTGCAATGGTTGAACCCTATTCCAATAGCAGTGTTTACAGAAAGCCACTAGAAACAAGATTCTTTGGGGTTAATTCTGCATTAAGGAATCCAGACTTCTCTGAGAATATCTAATTCCATTCTAGGAATGGGAAAGAGCCCCAAAGACCCTGCAAAGGTGCTTTAATCAACATTTAGCAGTTGTGGGTAGAAAGGAGGGGAGAGCCAGCTGAAAGCTGCCACTGCTCCCAAATGTGCACACTTGAGCATCAGTAAGAAAACATTATCATTAACTTTAGCAGGTGGATCTGTATCTATTTAAAGCTATTGATGCATGATAATATTCAAAGTGAAATAAAGCATATAAGAGTTAGTTTTAATACAATTAAAGGAACCATAATAAGATATTAATTTTTAAGAAAAACAATACAGATGGCAAGACAGGAAATTTTGAGTGGACTATTTTAATAGCTCTCAGGAAGGATTGTTCCCCAAAATGAAAAGGACAAGTCATCTCTGGAGTCTGCAACATAACACAAGGAATCCCACAGTGAGAGATTGACTGGGAGATCAGTCTCTTGTCATAAGTAAATGTACAGAACAACCATTGTGTAGGACCAGGTGTGTGGTTCAACTGGTAGAGCACCAGCCTTGAGCAAAAAGAACCTAAGCAAGAACTAAAGCCACTGAGTCCAAATTCCGATACTGGAATTATCACTGAGTAGGTATTCTCATCTCCTGGGAGATGATAAAATCCTAAGTTTATTTTTTCTGCTCCTGGGGCTTGAACTCAGGGCTGAGTATCCTCCCTTACTTTTATCTTTTGTACTCAAGCATGGCACTCAACTACTTGAGCCAGAACTTCAGTTTGTCCTATTTTTGGGTTGGTTGGTTAGTTAATCAAAAATAAGAACCTCATGAAGGCTGGTTTTGAACCACGATCCCCAGATCTCAGCCACCCAAGTAGCAAGGATTACAGGTGTGAGCCATGGGTGCCAGCTAAAATCCCAGATTTAAAATAAGTAATTCTAGTAATTATAAAAAATGCTAATGGGCCACACATGAATTTGTTATAATACTGTTGATAGATCAGTTTAATATAAAATATTGATTGGATGGAACAAAAGATAATGAAATTTGAAAGCATATCATTTTGCAGAAAGGCTGTATTTTTGAAAAACTTCCGTGATCTTTGGAAGCTTTCAAATTTCCATAAAGATGTTCAAAGGCAAAATCTTTAGGCCATTGAAGTTTTGTAGAATTTACTTCCACAAAGGAAAACAAAAATAGCTTATAAATTAGGCAGCTCCCAAAACCAGAGCAGGTGGAGAGAACTCTTTGAAACAATATGATCTGACAGTGTATATAGACATCAGAATGAAGGAAAAACAACTTAAATGTTTACAGCTTAATTTGATAAGAGTCTCCTGTAATTAACACTCAGATAGTTAGATTTAACATGATATCTGTCTGCTCTGTTAAGCCTGGTGCAAGAACCTCATCCATGTCAACAGACTCCTAGGAAATTTCTTCTCAGATTCTTATGTGGATGTGGTTCTCAGTCATCATAGTTAGCCTGAATTTCCAGTCTCATATGTCCATCAAAGATTACAGTATTCTCATGATCCAGTAAAGTTTTTAATTATGCCAGCCAGAGAGAGGCCATTTCCATTTAGCACACGGCTGCTTGTTGAAGAGACTATGGTATATTGTGACTATCAGGAGAATAATAACAAGATCTTGGAGTGGGCTCCCCAGTCAGGTCTCTAAGGAATCAAAGCAACCAAATTCAAATGAGCAAAGAATGAGCCAGATAAGGAGTCTATCCATTCTAAACAAATAACCTGTTCATTAATTTTCTTATGAGGCTCTACAATACCCAATGCATTTATCAAGAAGTGTTAGCAACTGCACAGATTCCTGCCTGTTCAACTACTAGGTAATCTAGCATTCCATCACCAGGCTGTTAAATTAGGTAGTGAGAACAAGTGCATCCAAACATCTGTTTACAGGCTGATCCTTCCAAGGGAGAGAGGAAGGCAGGAGCAAGAAAAATATCTACAGAAACAGCCTTGTTCTGATATCATAGAAAAGCTGCTCATATCTAAAGCCAAGAAGGGATCCTTTAGGTTGTCAGCACAGCCTGCAAGATTAGAGGCCCTGCAGCTTTACTGCAGTTGAAGTTGCAATCCTCCTTTCACTGGGGTCAAGAGCATATTTTATTTCTAGAAGCCACACTTAGACTCTTCAATTGATGAATCCCAGTTTCTTTGATCTGGAAGAACGTGCCTTGTCATAATACATCAAAGTCCTATAGTATTTGTGACTGAATTTAGGAGAATAGGTGACACTAAGATTTCTTCTTAGTGATATAGGTCACTAAAAATTATGACTATTTCATCCATTAAAAGCAAGCTAGGTGCTGGTTGCTCATGCCTGTAATTCTACTTATTCAAGATCTG